AAAGAAACCGTGGGTGTGGGGGCAGTTGCTGCCCGGTCGTAACGCCCTCCTTGTGTGTCTTTAAAGCTAGAGCTGGATGGTGAGCGTGTGGACCTGCCGAATCTGGAAGGCATCATCGTTCTGAACATCGGCTACTGGGGCGGTGGCTGCCGCCTCTGGGAAGGCATGGGGGATGAGACCTACCCCCTAGCCAGGTGGGCTCCCTCACAGTGTGTGTGTGTCTTTCGTACAGCCAGTTCTTAGGGCCTTTGACACATTCCCCGCAAGTTCTCCGTAGTCATTAAAATGATTAGAAATAATTAATAGCTATCTCATGGTCCATATATTAAAAAGGACTTGCCCTAATGTGACTGGGTTTTTTCTTGCATCCTGTGGTCTGTGCATCTTTTTTGTTCTTTTTTGCATATAGACATGATGATGGTTTACTGGAGGTTGTCGGAGTGTATGGGTCTTTCCACTGTGCTCAGATCCAGGTGAAGCTGGCCAATCCTTTTCGAATAGGACAAGCCCACACAGTACGGGTAGGTGAAATATTGCAATAACTAGCGAATTCATCCAGACGTGTTTTTCCCCATTTAATAGACATGAGACAAGACCCACACTGTCTCTTGTTAAACTGCGGCTCAGTCACACACTTCCACTCACCCTCCACCTGCTGCGTGATTGGGCTGGGGGCAAAACCAGCAGCAGGGTCTTCCCTCAGCTGAAGAAGTAGAGCCCTCGCCGAAAAGGAGTCCCGAAGCAATCGATGATAAATACGTATTCTGATTCTTTTTCTAAGATTGAAATGCAGCTGTGAGTGTGCTTGTTCAGAAGACATCTGTGAACTTACTGTCTGTTCATTGTCTGTTCCTTGATTGATTGCAGCTGATTTTAAAGTGCTCCATGATGCCGATGCAGGTAGACGGGGAGCCGTGGGCACAGGGGCCCTGCACGGTCACCATAACCCACAAGACGCACGCGCTGATGCTGTACTTCTCTGGAGAGCAGACGGATGACGAGGGCTCTAGTGCTTCGGACCCAGAGGACCTAAAGGAAGCTGAATAGACGGCTGGCGAAACAGAAACTCGCTCTGGAGTCTACTCAACAAGCACACGCTCCTGTCTTAGTGTCGGCAGCAGGGTCATGGGTATACATGTCATGTAAATAGCATTCCCCAAACAGCCAAACTTTCCAGTGACTGATAACAGCCTGCACCTTTTTCAGCAGAATGTCTTGGTTGTATAGGACCAGCTTTTAAATAGGAAGAGCTGCACTGAAGTAAAACGTGGCCCGTGGTTCTGCTTTAAGAGTGGGACCCACTCAGAAGTATCCACAGCTCGCTGCTTGCTCGAGAGCCAGACCCTGCGTGGACACGTCTACAGCCAGCCAAGCGTGGCTGGCAAGCCGCTCCATTGTGCTGACCCGTAGCGCAGTGGTTCTCAACCTCCTCGTGCCGCGACTCTTTCATACAGTTCCTCATGTTGGGGGTGACCCCCAACCATAAAATTATTTTCGTTGCTGCTTCATAACTTGCTACTGTTATGAATTGGGCGACCCCTGTGAAAGGGTTGTTCGTCTCCCAAAGGTGTCACGACCCCCAGGTTGAGAACCGCTGCTGTAGCGTGTAGAGTCCCCTGTGTCTTGGAAAGGCGGTGGCTCACGTGGATGATGTTAGCCTTCCCCTGCAGCCTGCCTCAGCAAATGTGCCCAACCCTGAGGGGCCCAGAGGAGCTCCTGGCTGGGAAGCCCTGAGAGCAAACAGTCCGTAGGTTAGGATCACTGTCAGCCCCCCAAGGGTTGTTTGATTAACCCTGTTAATGACTACTGAGTGGAATTTCAGGATTTTTTTTCTATAATCCCAGTATAGCTGAAAGAAAACCCGAGAGGCAAATTGATAGGAGATTAAGATTCGAGACGTTTTGCATTTGAGGCCTTCAGAAGGCTCCTAGAAAAAAACCTTGTACTTCTGTCTTTCCACACACTTTCTGAGACCCTCCCACTGGAAGTGAAATGGTTCTGATCATTAGAAGACAGTGTCAGTAATAACCAACCAAATGTGCTAAAGGAAAGGCACTCGTTAGAGCCATTGCTTTTAAAAATTCCAGTCTTCCAGTATTTGGAAATACAGCACCTTTTTTTTTTTTAAGTTATTTGACAGAATTGCCCCCTTGGTGTGAATGTGGAGAGGAAGATGTTCAGAATCCTCTGCAAAAACGTTTATTCATATTTATTTTAAAGTGAGAAATAGATCTATATTTTTTGTCTTATGTATTATTTGCCCTGGCCATGGTACCTGTGTGTAAGTAAGGTTTGCAATATGTAGCTTTATTTAATAAGTTAATCAGATAAATTTTGCTAGCTGCCATCTAATGGAAAAACCTGTTGAGAAAGCAATGAAAGTCTGTAATGTAATTGCTTTGAAAGATATAGTATCCAAATAATCTTAATTTTTCTAAATACTCCCTAATCTTTACCGAAAACTGGGTGTGGGGGCAGGTAGCAAAATACACTGGCAAGCCCCTTTTGGATAGCTGGGGTGGGGAGATGGCAATTGGAAGGGGTTTTTGTTTTGTCTTTGTTTGTTTTCTGTTTTCCTCCCAGTTGCCAAGAATTGAGGGCTGGTTTCTGGTTGCCCACAAGAGGGCTCCCTTGGTCTGCTGTCCTGCCCCTCTGTCCCCTCGCACATCCAGCTGGTGCTTGCCTGGTGGTGATGGTGGTCTTGTGAGATTCAGCTCAGAAAGATTAAGATGTGTCCCCCAAACACACTAACTTACCTGAAACGTCCATATGAATCCATCTATGAATTGCCATAAACTTAAAAATGAGTCACAGCATATACAGTAACCAGCATAAAGTGTTTTTATATTACTTAAGATGACAACTTCTGAGTCAGAGAGCAGTTCTGTTGTCCCCTGTCCCCTCTCATGGTAGACAACCTGCTGGGGCGGGGTGAGAGTGAGGGGGTGAGGGGCAATGGGGTGGGCATTGGGCAGATTTTCTGTTTTATGGGCAGATCATGTTTTAAGTATAATTAGATTTATCCTTCATGGTCAAATTGTTTATATTTTGTAAATAGAGTGTTAAATTTGCTTCTTTAGGTTGTATTTTACCCATAATTCATAGTACTAATTGCAGAAGCAAAGTAAAAAGTTAATATGGGATATCCCAAGTAAAAAGTCTCAAATAATGCTATATTTTTCTTAATTGCTGGAAAATGTACTTTAAGAATAACATTGTGGAGTCTCTTTTGTATCTAAAACAATAATTTGGAAAAAGGAGGTAGAAAGTAGACACTCAGAAAATTGACAACTTGGAAACGACCGACTTATCTTACCTACAAAGCTTCGAGCTTTATAAATTGGTAAGATGATCAGCGCTCTCTCATGTAAAGAGCAGTAACGATACCACCCTACACTTGGTGCAGGTTTATTTAAACAAAGGGAATTTTGCATTTTAGCCCAGGGAGCCTTTTTCTGTCCCAGCCCTGCAAGAAGTTTCTCGGTTGGCTAGTCCCTCTTTCAGCCTTCATTTGTATTTAAGAAAGTGGTTTCATAATGCCGTGTCCCAACACCCATCTTGACTTGATGGTTCACATCAATGTGTGGGCGTGTGCCTTGTTTTTTAAAAATGCAATGCATGATAAGATTCATATTTGCAAGTCAAAAATTAGGGCAATAGCTGTCTACTAGAAACTCTATGCTTTTCAAATTAATTTATCACATTTTCCTGCCTCATGTTTGGCTTGCCTTGGTTTTAAAAGTTTATCCTTCTCAGGAAGATGTGTAAAGCAATGTGTATTTCCATGTCTGTGTGTGAGGCTTCGCTCAGCTTTGGCTCTTCTCAGACATTCCTAACTTCCTGAAGCTTCAATGTTTAGACACTGAGTACTGGCAGCTCTTACTGGTCCCATAAGTAGATGGTGATTAGCAACACTGTATTATGTTCAGTATAAATCTGGCTGGCCTGGGTTTCAAAATGCAGGCTGTCAAGTAGTACGATTATGTGATCTTCAGTGTTTTTAAGTTTTTGCAACCGTTAGCTGTGAACCCTTCAATGTAACTTAATGTTTATAAAGATTTTTATAGTCGAGATTATTTATTTTTATTTTTTTAGTGTCCTACAACCTCCAGTATTTGCTTTTTGAAAGCTAGTGTATTCCCTGGTTTTGTAAAGTTTACTATGACTCAATTATAAAGTTCTTGCTTTGTGAAATTAAGTGTCAAAAGATGAGTAACTGCATTTATAGTGTAAAAATTGTACTTAATGTATAGTATGAGATTTTAAATGTGCACTATCTGGAGAACATTGCAAGTTATATTAATTTACAGATCAACATGGATCCGAATACATAATTTGTACTTACTTGTTCAGCCCAAAAAGTCAATATTTGAGAGTGATTGATTGATAGTTGTGTTGTTTTCCCTAAAAACAATAGTACCGAAGCCGAAACCAGCACTTTATATTCAGAAATGTTTTGTTTTGTTTAATTCTACCTACTTTAATGTAATGGGAAGTCTCTAGAAATGTAGAAAGTGTTCTGTGACTCTGTCCAGCTGCATGGAGATGCATTCTCCACAAGAAGGAAGAGGTGGTGTGGGGGTTGGATTTTTATTCATTCTCAAGTTTTTCTCTAAGACCTCTGTCCTGTTTCTCACGGTATGGGGTGCAGGCTGTCTGCAGCCCCCAAACCACCTGGGGAACGTGTTGGAAGTGGATTCTGGGGCGCACGGAGCCCCTGGCTGAAAGCGTCCCTGTCTCTGGAGAGCAGACATGACACGCTCCTCTTGCAGCAGGAAGCACCGGTGGTGCTGATGCAGCCTCACGTGAGGACGCTGCTGGCCTACATCCTGCCTCGCCGCCCTTGGACCAGATGGAGTTTAATTAGATGTTCTTGGAATTACATTTCCTTTACTCCACCAACTGGCCTCTTCCGCCAGGGTCAGTCTTTTGAAAAGAACTGTGAAAAACTTGCTCTTGTTCTACCCAAATGGATGTTTGTCTGAACTTTGTTACCTGAAGAGTTGGTAAGCTTCCTCTGTTCTTGTGTGGAGTTGTGGTTGGGGCTGTGCCTGCTCCGAGGAGTCCTGCACGTCCAAAGGGTCGCTTCCTGGTCTCCAGGTGGGACCCCAGAGGCAGTGACTGCTTCCGGGGCGCAGGAAGAGGCAGCTCCTCATTCTCCCGTCAGCCAGGGCCCTGCTCTTAGCTACTGGGGGCAGATGGGAGAAGATGGTGTTTGAGGGGAAAAAGGAAACTCGCTGGTTTTGAAGAGGAACTTGGAAACCACTATTAAAATGATTGTAACCTGTTTCTACTGATTTTTACTTATTCAGAAACCTGATGTTTTTGTGCAGAGGATATTTTGAGGGTCTCAGTTGCTGCTTGGACTATTGCCACTTGGCACTAACAAATTCATCATTTGAATACATATTGTTAATTAGGAAAGCACTGTTAGCCCCTGTTCCTCGTGTTTCTAATGTTAGCCTAGGCACAGTCTGTGTCCTTAACTGTAGACACTGCAAATGCACACAGGAATGTGTGTAGCTATTTATCCCCATCCTCCCATCCACTGCTAGTGTAATGTGGGGTTTGGGTTGTGCTGAGCACCTATAGACAAATGTGAAGGGGCGGTTTGGGGGGTTTCTCCCTGACAGCCCTTCATGTAGTTTTTCTGTGGAAGATATTTGATTGCTTTTTAAAAATTTAATTAAAAGTGCCACACTTAAAATACGATCCTGTGTGCTTTTTTTTGACACAATAAAAGCAGCACCTTTGTTTCACAGGAAAGGGGACTGTGTTTTCAGAAAAACAAGACTGCAATGCAGCAGATTCTGGGTTAGATACTACTTGGGGACTGAAGGACACTATTGTGTCCGGCTGCGCTAGCCAGGGACATGGAGCAGAGATAAACACTGAGGAGACGCATCCATTCCCATGTGCATAGATCATCCAGGAAGAACGAAATGACATACAGCAGGTAGACTTGCCTCGTGGCTGGGGGGTTAGCCAGAAGATTAGGGATTCAACACCCCCCACCCCAGGTGCCGTCGGAAGCAATTTGCAGCCTTGGAACTATTCTTGGCCATCCTAGGGTCACATGACAGAACTGACCCCAGAGCCATGGCCACTATTGGGAGAGTGGAAGGAGTAGAGTTCGTTCTCTAGCTGGGCTGAAGACCCAGCCTCTGCCACATACTGGCAAGTTGCACAGCCTCCCTGAGCCTCAGTCTAAAAATGGGAGCTGGTGCCTACCTGTGAGCTGACACGCAGGCACAGAGGGAACAGAGAGCACCTGGTTGTCACCACGCAGGAACGCAGGTCAGCTGTGAGCAGAAAGAACTTTGAGAGAGAACAGGATAGGCTTTATACGAAATCCACTTTTCAATATGCTACCAGAGTGAACACTGAAATCTGATGTTTAAATGTTTGTTGGAAACTAATGGAATGTGCTCTGTTTTCCATTGTGCATCCAGCTATAGTACCTGTATCC